AGCCAGACTCTGGCCGGGGACCTCCTCCAGAGGAAGAGGAGGAGGAGGAGGAGGAGGAGGCTGCTGCCAAGGAAGAGGCTGAAGCCCAGGGCATCAGAGATGATGAGAGGTGAGTGAGCTGCCTCGGCAGTGGGCTGGGAGGGCTCAGCCGCTGATGGAGAGGAGGAGGAGGAGGATGCAGAGAAGGGCCTGCAGTAGTCAGCCTTTCTGGAGGCCGGGTGGGCTCTCCCTGAAGACCTGCACTGGCTGGGGTAAGGCCAGGCCAAGGCCACACCATTAACCCTTCTCCCTCCAACCCTCCCCTGCAGCCTGTAGCCACCAATGTTTCAAGAGGAGCCCCTGCCCCGTTCCTGCTGCTGTCTGGGTGCTACTGGGGAACTGGCCATGGCCTGCAAACTGGGAACACTTTTCCCACCCACCCCACTCTCCTCCTTCACTCACTTTCTCGGTTTTTAAGCCCACCTCTGGAGATTGGCTTGGCCCTCCCCTCCAGGTCTCTGTACCCTAGGACCTGAGTCTGGGCCCTGGGCCCTGGGATGAGATGGGGCCATTCTATCTCCTTAGACTTGTCTCCTCGGGGTTGTGTCAGGGCCTGGGCTGCTATTTCCACCTCTTGACACCTCTGCCCTCCTGCAGGCATTCTAGACCTTTGGGCTGGGTTGGGGCAGGAGTGGGCTGATGGACTATGAACTTGAGTGTGGGTTCCTGGGGGGCGTCTCCTGAGATCCTGTCTCATGCTCCCACACCTATTTTCCCATCTGCCTAAATTCAAGCAAAGGGGACACTATGTGGGAGAGAGGCTCCCGTCCGTAAATCCTTGGTGATTTTGAGAGCATTTTTCTCCCTGACCCCAGGGTTCAAGGAATTGTAGTTTAACATCAAGACTTTGGAGTTTCCAAGTTGTTAGGGCCAAGGTCCTGGAGAGAGCTGATAATCTGAAGGGTTGACTCATCATTTGCATTGAGTAAATGTCTCTCTTTAGATCTCAGGTCAGAGGATGAGGTAACGTGGGGAGACCCTGCTGCCTTCTTCCCTCTTCCCATAATGCTCAAGGCCAGCCTCTAGTCAGATATATCACCCAGACATAAAGGAAAAGACACATTTTTTAGGAAATGTTTTTAATAAAAGAAAATTACAAAAAAGGAAAAAAAAAAAATCAACCAACCTGTTAATCCCCACCCTCTGTGTGCCCCCCACTGCTGACCCGGTTCTGAGGTGCACTGGGAGGTTCCCCTTGTGTTGGAGTTGATGACTCTTTGGAGCTGGGGCTTGCTGTTCTTCCAGAGTTGGTCCTCTGGTGGTGTCACACGTCCAGTTCGTAGCCCACTGAATACAGGGAAAAGTGCTCTCCCAGCCTCTTCGGGGCTTTCTGATGCCCCCTCCTTCTCTTGTCTCTACTCCTATCCCTCCCTTGGGCTCTGAAGAAAAATTGCTGACTGTAGCTTTGGAAGTGTAGCTCTGAGAACCATAGACAATTTGAGTTCTAGGAAAATAAAGCCGTTGATTACTATCCTGGATTCCGTCTGATTCTTTGGAGTGTCTGGATAACTGAAGAGGGAAGGGAAACAAGTGACCTCCTCCTCCTCCTCCTCGGGTTAAAGGAGGGACCTCATCTCCGTTCCCACACAAGGCTACAGAAACCACACCATCCAGTCTACCCTTGCAAGCATCTGGGGGGGTCTAAAACATTTTCACTAATTTTGTTAGGTATATTTTATGAGTGTTTTGCCCACATTTATATGTGTGTACCACCTGCAAGCCTGGTACCTGAGGAGGTCAGGAGAGGCCATTGGGTCTCTGGAACTAGAGTTAAGGGTGGTTGTAAGTCACTATGTGGGACCTGGCAACCAAACCCAAGTCCTTGGCAAGAACAAGAACAGCAGCTGCTTGTTGAGCCTTTTCTTCAGCAACTGGTCTAACATTTTGAGCCAGGTGTGATAGCACAAACCTGTATTCTCAGCAGTGGGAAGGCAGGAGGATCACACGTTCAGGGCCAGCCTGGGCTTTATGAAAAAGGCTGTGTCTGATGCCTCGCCCCCCCCCCCCCCAGCCATTACACACAGAAAAAACACTGGCCTAAGAAATAGGTTTTAGGGCTGGAGAGATGGCTCAGCGGTTAAGAGCCCTGACTGCTCCAGAGGTCCTGAGTTCAATTCCCAGCAACCACATGGTGGCTCACAACCATCTGTCATGAGATCTGGCACCCTCTTCTGGTGTGCAGGTATGCACACAGGCAGAACACTGTATATATACATAATAAATCTTAAAAAACAACAAAACCCAAAAGCACAGTATATGGTAATTGGAGAGCTGGTTTAGCAGTTACAGAGCACTTGTTCTTGCAGAGGGCCTGGGTTCAGTTGCCAGCACCTACACTGGCCCAGAACCATCCATACCTTCAACTGCAAGGGGTCCTACACCCTTTGCTGACCTCCTGGGTACCAGGCACACGTGGTACATATACATGGAGGCAAAATATTCATAACATACATCTAAGTTTTTATTACATTTTACTTTGTGTGCCTCTGTGAAGATCAAAGGACAATTTTCAGGAATCAGTTTTTCTTTCCATCATGTGGGACCCAGGATTGAGCCCAGATCATCAGGCAGGTAGGTGCCTCTACCCACTGAGCTATCTGGCCAGCCCAATAAAGTCACCTGCAGGTGTGCAGCAAGCTCTAGACCAGCCTGGGGTATGATGACACATGAGAGCAGATGTAGCAGATGCTTGAGGACCTAGGTTCAATACCTTCCCAGTACTTCAAAAAAGAGAGATGGAGTGTCATGGAAGGTGTGTGACTTCTGTCTGAGACAGAGTCTCATGTAACCCAGGATACATACTATACAGCTGAGGATGACCTTAAACTGATCTCCCAAGTGTTGGGATTTCAGGTCTGCATAGCCATCCCTGGTTTTTGCTTTTGATATAGGGTCTCCCTATTGGTCTCAAACTCATGGTCCTTTTGCCTTAGTCTCTAAATTTAGTGCTGGGAAGAACTGAGTGTTTGGTGTGGTTCTAGAAATATCTTGGACCTTCAAGAGCAATTCAAAGTTTAGGGGGGAGTGAACTATTTAATGCTAGTTAGGTTGCTAGCCACATGTCAGCTTGTTTTAGCCAAGGCATGGTGGTACACAGCGCTGGAGCACAGGTGATCTCTGAGTTCAAGACCAGCCTACATGTACTACATGTTACTATGTATTTAGTCCCAGGACAGGCAGAGCTACATAGGAAGACTGTCTCAATAAATAATAAGACAAGGCAAGAATTGTGACTTTTAAAAAAATTATTTTATGTGTATGAGTGCTCCATTGACTTTATGCCAGAAGAGGGTATCAGATCCCACTAGAGATGGTTGTGAGTCACCATGTGGTTGCTGGGAATTCAACTCAGGACCTCTGGAAGGGCAGCCAGTGCTCTTAACCGCTGAGCCTGTTCTCTAGCCCATGACTTGATTTCAGAGTTCACTTGAAGGTCTACAGGTGGCTTGGCAGATTGCAGAGGATCCTGGTTCGGTTCCCAGACTCACATCAGGCAGCTCACAACCACCTGGAATTCCAGTTTCAGGGCTTCCAATACCTTCATCTTCTGGCCTTCATAGGCACTACCAGCACACATTTGGTACACATAAAATTATGAAGGCATTTGATGGTGGGGAACACCTGGCGGGTTTCTGAGTTCGAAACCAGCCTGGTCTATAGAGTTCAGAACAGCCAAGGCTACACAGAAACCTCGTCTCAAAAAATAAAATAAATTAAAATGAAGGCACATACGCATAAAAAACAATAAATATTTAGAAGAAAGAATAACTGGGGAGTGGGAGTGGAGATGTAGCTGATAAGAATACTCACTGAACATGCAGTAAGCCCTAGGAGTGGATTCAGTCTGGAGCACCATATACACCAGGCTTGATGCTAACTCCAGCAGCTGGGAAGAGAGGGCAGAAACTAGCAAGTTTGAAGTGAGCCTGGGCTACATGAGACACTATCTCAGCAAACAACAGTTGAGAAGACAAGACTCCAACTCCATCTTGCTGAGAGGCTGGTTTAGGGACAGGACAGGCCAGCTTGCCTTCATAAGTCACGGACATAGAATGATGAAACAGTAGGGGTGCCTTCTCAGAGATGAGGTGTGAGGTTAATGACACACATCTGATGCTGATGGCCTCAGGAATCCTTTCCTAGTTATACACATCCTAAGAACAAAGGCCATTTCTTCAGGCTCTTCTAGTCACTGATTAGTTCACTAACGAGGTTCCTGACATTACAAACTGGACAGGTTAGGGGATAGCCCATCCAAAGCTCTCAATCACCATCAGACTCACAGTAATGAAAAACATACTTGATCTGATCAGGGCAGGCAGGTGAGTGGTCAAAGAGCGAGCTGATCAGGACATCTGGTCTCAGTGCTAGGCTTTGCTAGGGATGCCTGCCAGTCCACTCACTGATGGTGGGAGGGCAGGTAGGTGGGAGGTGGACACGGTGGTAACCTCCCAGTATGCTCTACTTTATGTAGAATGATTAGCTCATCTAGTATCCGAAGGACCCACGATTATCCTTTCCTCTACAAAGGTGGGGCAGTTTTTTAATCTGCCCTGGTCCCTCAAGCAGCGAAGAGCCAGGACATAATGGCTGTAATCCCACCTAGAAATGAATCCCTTTGCTTTTACTCAGAACTCCTAACCACCTAGAAAATGGAGCCATGTTCTTTGTGAACTACAACTCCCAGTGGCCACCACGCAGAGCACTTACAGGAAAGTACCCAGCGAACCCGCCTATCTTTCGCCTTCAGTTCCCGACATGCTTCTCACCCTCGAGATTTCCTACTTTTGGCCAAATTTCCTGTTTTCAGGTCATTTTGTAGCGACGGAATACAGTTCCCAGCAAGCTGAGAGGCTCGCTGCGTTCTTGAGCGTCCGCTCTGCTATTAGACTACATCTCCCAGAAATCCAGTGGGCGGAGACGGCCAGAGCAGCACCCACGTGCTAAGAAAGATTGGGAAAGGTGAGCCCGCTGGTCGCCGGTGGTCCCCAGGAGGCGGATACTCGAAGGGACTTCCCTTTTCCTAGCCTTAAATTGGGGCGCAGTCCTCCTCCTTGGGTTTCTCTTTACTAGGAGGTTGGAGCTATCCTTGGATCTGGGTGAGTCTGACAGAGGAAGTCCTTGAGGCCTTGCCCCGAGTGCTTGCTTGGAGAAGAAAGCTCCCCCCGCGGAAGTGGCACTAGCATCCGGTGGTGTGGGGAGCCGAGGGAAACATGGAGGGGGGCGTGTCCGGGCCTGCTTTCTCCTCCCAGAGCCTCACTCAGGCCTGGAGGGACTGAACCAGCCTTAAGGATTTTTTGAGACACACACGCTCCGGTGAAGCTGCGTTAACTAGGACAAGGCAAGAAGCCGCCTTAGGCCTGTTCTTCGTGTTAGTGAACAGGATCTTAATGATACTTCCTGAGTACTTGTGAAGACCAAATACGTTGAAATTCTCAGTCAGTTTTGGACTTGCCAGGTCCTTAGATTCAGTGCGTTGGATCTGAATAGAAGTATTTAAGCCCTTGTGCTCCTCCAGCATCATGGATAACACTGGGCTTTCCCCCATCTCCTATCCTGAGATGTATAAAGAAGGGAGGAGTAGCCCACTTACACAAAAATTACTTGTCCATCATACGTGAGTCGCCAAGTTTGATGACCACACACACACACATAGCACACAGCACACAAAAACAGAAACCCAGTGACGAGCCCAAGAGCAATTTCATCGCTGCCCTTAGGCTTCTGTGAGATGCTGCTTAGCGTGGTACCAGGCTAGCAGCAGCAGCTATTTATAAAGCTCACTGCATGCTAGGTTAGCATTCTGCATTGAACCTTTTTACTTGGTTGTTTTGATTCAGATGGGTCGCACCTTGTAGCTCAGACTAGTCTGTAGGTACTGTATAGGGCAGGCTGGCCTTGAACGCATAGTAATCCTTATGCTTCTGACTCCCGAGGCATGAGTCATCACACTTAGCATTTTATTTTATTTTTGTTTGTTGAGACAGGGTCTCATTATGTAGTGTTAGCTGGCCCAGAACTCATTATATAGACCAGGTTGGCCTTGAACTCACTAAGATCTGCCACCCAAGTGCTGGGATAAAAGGTATGTCCTACTGCACTCATTGATTCTTTATTTTTAACTAATTTATTTTTTGGTTTTTCGAGACAGGGTTTCTTTGTATAACCTTGGCTGTCCTGGAACTCATTCTGTAGTCCAGGCTGGCCTCAAACTCACAGAAGGTCCACCTGCCTTTGCCTCCCGAGTGCTGGGATTAAAGGAGTGTGCCACCATTGCCTGGCATGTTGCATTCTTTTATGTTGCATTTGTTTAACTCTGTGAAGCTATGTTACTTTGTCTGTCTGAAACACCTGATTGGTCTAATAAAGAACTGAACAGCCAATAGCAAAGCAGGAGAAAGGATAGGCAGGGCTGGCAGGTAGAGAATAAAAGAAGAAATCTGGGAGAATGGAAGGAGCAAGAGAAGGAGAGGAGAACACTAGGGGCCAGCCAGCCAGCCATGGAGTAGGACACACAGAAGTAAGAGAAAGAAAAGTCCCAGAGGCAAAAGGTAGATGGGATAATTTAAATTAAGGAAAGCTGGCTAGAAATAAGCCAAGATGAGGCTGGGCATTTATAAGAAAGAATAGGCCTCTGTGTGATTTATTTGAGAGCTGTGTGGTAGGGCCTCCAAACAGCCAAAGAAAGAAGAGTTAAAAAAAAAAAAAAAACAACACTCCCATCTAATAAAATATTTAAAAGTTGGGAGCTAGAGAGATGGCTCAGAGGTTAAGAGCACTGGCTGCTCTTTCAGAGGTCCTGAGTTCAATTCCCAGCAACCACAGGGTGGCTCACAACCATGTATAGTGGGATTTGATGCCCTCTTCTGGCTTAAAGGTGTACATGCAGATAGAGCACTCAGATACATAAAATAAATCTTTAAAAAAAAATTTTTTAAATAATTAAAAGTCAAGGTTTTTCTATGTAGCCCAGCCTAGCCTCAAGCCTCAAACTTATGGTCTTTTTGCTCTTACTTACCAAGTGTTGCTATTACAGGTGTGCACTACCACATCTGGCTCTTTTTACCTTTTTTTTTTTGAGACAGGGTTTCTCCATGTAGTTTTGGTGGCTGTCCTGGATCTTGCTCTGTGGACCAGGCTGGCCTTGAACTCACAGAGATCCGCCTGAGTCTGCCTCCCAAGTGCTGGGATTAAAGGCATGCGCCACCACTGCCTGGCTTCATTTTACCATTTTTTTAAAATTGGATTTATTCATTTTTTTAAATGAGTGCTTTGGGTACATGTATGTATATGCATTACATGCATGCCTGATGCCTATAAAGGCCTGAAGAGGGCATTGGATCCTCTGGAACTAGGGTCACATGTGGTCATGAAACACCATGTGGGTTGCTGGGAATCAAATGCAGGTCCTCTAGAAGAGGAACATGTAGGTGGAATTTTCCTGTCCACAGCTGCTGTCAGATAATCACTCAGAGGCTTAATATAAAGTATAAATGCTTGGCTGATAGCTCAGGTGTGTTATTAGCTATTTAAATTAACCCATATTTCTTATCCATGCTTTGTCTTGTGGCTCATGGCTGGTTACCTCATTTTCTTCATATCCTGCTCCCTCGGCAGCTGAGTGGCATCTCCTCTGACTCCACCCCTCATCCCAGCAACCTCAGTTTGATTGTCCTAACTTTATCCTGTCTTGCTATAGGCCAATCAGCTTCTTTATTAACCAATGAGAGCAATACATATTCACAGTGTACAGAAGGATTATTCCACAGCAGGAACAAGTGTTCTTAAATGCTGAGCCGTCTCTTTAGCTCCCTTTTTTACTTTTTGAGACAGGGTCTCACCAAATTATTCAACGGGTGTTGCTGGAGGGCTTCTCTCCAGGTTCCACCAAGCCATGTAGTTCCACAATCCACGTACAAAATAATCACTCAGACGCTTATATTACTTATAAACTGTATG